CTTGCCTCCTCCCCAACCCCAAGTGATCAACCACAAATAGAAAAGCAACAACAGCCGAGAGGGAGTCCTGAAACACCCTGCACAGCTTCTCTGCCAACTGATGTAGCTGGGAGCAGAGCTAAATCTAAACATACACTTTTCATGGTTTCAGTTTCATCCTTTAAGTTGTAATATTCTTACTGGGAAGGAGGAAACAAAATAGCTCTCCCCAGTTTTGACCAAAACTGTAAATAAATTCATTTTCCTATATTTCCTTTCTATTTTTGTGTGATGGGGAGGGGTTCAAAATGGTCTCATGTAGCCGTGTGACATTGAACTTGCTATCTTTTTAAAACCAAATTATTTTTGTGTATGAGTTTTGTATGCCTGTATATAAATGCACCACGTGTGTGCAATGCCTGTGGAGGCCAGAAGAGGATGCTGGATTCTCTGAAACTGGTGTTACAGACAGCTGTTAAGATACCATGTGGGTGCTGGGAGCCGAACTCAGGTTCTCTGCAAGAGCAGCCAGTGTTCTTAATTGCTGAGCCAGCCCTGAACTTGCTGCCTTGATGAGAACAACCTTGAACTGCTGATTCTCCTACCTCCACCTCCCAAGTGCTGGGATTACAAGTGTGTGTCACCATGCCCAGCTTTCTTTTCTCTTTGGGGGTGAATGCTCTGGCCCAGAGCTAGCCCTTATGACCAGGGGCTCAGGTAACAGGACCCCACTGCTCTGGCCTTACCTCTTCTAGCTTCAGTACTTGCCTCATACACACTGGATCCCCACATCTGCCTCCAGGGAGCCAGCTCCCACTTCACACCCATGTTTAAATTCTGATACTCATTTTCCTAAAATAATGGGCTGGAGAGATGGCTCAGTGGTTAAGAGCACTAACCACTCTTGTGGAGGACCTGGGTTCGATTGCACCCACATAACTCCAGTTCCAGGCAATCTGATGCCCTCTTCTGACCTCTGTGGTGTTGTACAACATGGGTGCACTCACATATATGCAGGCAATACACTCATACACATAAAATAAATATTTTAAAAACAAATAAGCAAAGATGTTGACTCCCTTATAGGCAGCTGGTGGCCTGGCTATCTCCAGCAAAAGGGTGGTCAAACAGCCAGTCAGACTACCCTTGTCCGCACCTAGTGTTTTCAGTACTTCACGGACAGATCCTTGAGAAAACTACACTACCATCGCAGCTGATTACTCTGGCTCCTAAGATACAGTTTCAAAGTTTGTTTTTGCTACCACAAGCGGCAATGAACTCAGAGTAATTCTGCAACCATTTCCACCTAGGCCAAGGGAAGCATTTCCCTCAATGGCCCAGCAGAACTGGTGCTAGGGACAATGCTGCAATTGCTGTGAACACAAACCTCAGTTTTTACTTATTATTTTAGTTGTTTCCTTGAGACAGGGTCTCACTCTGTCCCAACTGGCTTCAAATTGATCTTGATTGTCCTACCTCAGTTTCCTGAATGCTGAGATTACAGGTGTGAGCCATGACAGTGTTACAAACCTCCATTTGTATGTATGTGAGGAGAGCTAGGATTAGTCCAAACACCCCTTCTCTGGTTATGGAAGCTCACCCTCCTATGCTGTCTCCCCTGGTACTGCAACATTCGACCCAATAAGTTTTCTTTTTGAGACAAGTCTTCTTGCCAATTTTTAGTAGTGTGGCTTATCAAGTAATATGAAGACAGACGCAGCAAAGACAGTGGTGCAGTGTCGGCAACAACTGAACAGTTTTCAGGCAAAGTTGAAAAGGTGGCACAGCAGCTGGCTGCTTGACAGCGGACCAGTTTAGGAGAACAATCTGGACATACTCAAGGACAGCAGAAGAGAAATCTGAGGCTGAAGGATAAAGGGATGTAAAGAGCCAAACTGCAGGCCCTGGTCACTGGGAGTTCCAGAGAGCTGCCAAGCTTTCAAGACCGAGACTCACATACCCAAGACCTGGGAGTTAACAGTGGCCCCTGCCAAGGGCGGAGGGATCCCAATACCTATCCTCAAAAGTTGCAACACCAACTGCTGCCCATGTTTAAGGAATCCTGACCTCCTCAAGCCTGACTAAGGGCTTCTAGAGCTAGGGGCTCTGATACATGAGGTCTGCATGAGTGCTAACACAGGAGGGCACCAACTGCAACTGCTCCTGCCTGCTGCCCAGATTTAAACAATGAAGGAGACAAAAGATGCCAAAGACCATAGTGACTCACACCTGTAATCCCAGCCCAGGGAGGCAGAGGCAGTGGATCCCATGTGAGTTCACGGCTACATAGTGAGACCCTGTCTCAAAACATAACACATTTTGCCCAGGACAGTGGCACACACCTTTAATCCCAGCACTGAGGAAGCAGACAGGCAGATCTCTATGAGACTGAGGCTAGCCTGGTCTACACAGCGAGTTCCATGTAAACTAGGGATACAGGGAGATCCTATCTGGGGGGAAAATCCTGCCTTTTATAGTCAGAAGTAAATTACTTAGCTAAGACACAGGGCCTGTAGCTCCAGCTGGTCTGGAACTGGCTATATAGATCAGGCAGGGCTTCAACTTAGAGATCCACCCACCTCTGCCTTAAAGGCGTGCGCCACCACACTTGGCCCCAAATTATATTTTCAAAAGAGGATACATTTTTACTTTTTACCTCAGGACCTTTGCATGTGTTGGTCCTGCCTGGAGCATTTAATCCTGGTGTAACTCCAACCCCATGAGTATGTGAATCTTCTGGGATCTTCCTGAGAGTTTGGAGATTCTAGCAGGGGACTACAACTACTCACATACCTAAGGAATGGTCCTCCTCCACCAGGGAAGGTTGTCCTCTCCAAGTGCATAGCCTCAGGGGGAGACATAAGACATAGGGAGGGGGCTGGAGAGATGGCTCTCTTACAGAGGACCCATGTTTAGTTCCCAGCACCCACATGGCAGCTAACAACTGTCCCTGACTCCAGTTCCAGGTGATCTAATGCCCTCTTCTGACCTCCATGAGCATTACACAGCACAGGTACACTTACATACATGCAGGTCATATTTACACACACAAAATATATATTTTTTTAAAAAAAGACATAGGAAGCAGGGCATGGAAGCGAATACCTTTAATCCCAGCACTCGGGAGGCCGAGGCAGGCAGATCTCTGTGAGTTTGAGGCCACCCTGGTCTACATATGGAGTTCCAGGCCAGCTGGGGCCATAGGGAGATCCTGTCTCAAAATGACCAAAAAAAAAAAAAAAAAAAAAAAAAAAAAAAAACCCCAGCAAAACAAAAAAGACATAGGGAGTAGCAAGGAATATGTTACCTGCCCAGCAGACCAGATCACTACAATCACCGAGGTAAATTCCTGGCCTCATCTTTTCCTTGATATATTAATATTCAGACTAGTTTATTAATAACCTGAATTTCTACATTTATGGTAAACATTTTGGTATTTCCAATGCAGGTCTCTGGACTTCCAGTGTCTATGGGACTCAGGCAGACAGCTTTGAAATCTCAGCTTTTGTCACTTGACATTTCAAATATATATTACTTTAAAAATTTTTATGAGTATTTTGCCTACATCTAAGTGTACCATATATGTGCAATGCCCAGAGAGGCCAGAAGAGGGCATCAGATACCCTGGAACTGGAGTTAGGGGTTAGTGACCGCATGGATGCTGGGAATGGAACCCTGGGTCCTCTGGTAGAACAGCAAGTGCTCTTAACCACTGAGCCATCTCTCCAGTCCCTAGGAAAGATTTCTTGACATCTCAGTTGAAACATGGCTATTCTTTTCTAGACTAGGTCTCTTTACCCAGGCCCTCTGGTGTAAGGCAGAAGCCCAGCAAGAAGAAACACAGGGGATCAATGCTGAATTGGACTTTCATTTTCCAGAAAAAGCCTGAGCACTTTCTCACACTACCCTTACTCCCAGGAGCATTCTGGCGAAAGTTTCTGAGGGAGGGCTTTGAAGAGAGGGTTTTATCTTAGGATGGGAGTGATGTGGGGCAGCAGAGATGGCTCAGCAGTTAAGAGCACTGGCTGCCCTTGCAGAGAACCTAGGGTTCAGTTATCAGCACCAATACGGCAACTAACAACCATCTGTAACTCAGTTCCAGGGGATGAGATACTGTTTCTGGCCTCCACAGGCATTGCAAAACATAGGTGCACTTTTTATGCAGGCGACACACATACACATAAAAAGACTTGGACACTTTGGCTCACCTACAATTCCATCTGCCTTAGACTTAACTTTAGGGAAGATAATCTGGAAAATCCACCTTTACACAACTTCCAAACACCAGTCAGTGCAGAAGAGCTGCCACTTTTTCTGTCAAAGTGGGAAGCAGGTGAGTATTTGGTGAGGGGTTGATATTGGGGAGATATAGACTCTTAGATGAAACACTCACTGAGATGCCCCAGACCTGTCTTGGCGTCAGGGGTCAGGGTTGGTCTATCCCTCTCCTCCCAGAAGCATTTACACCATCTTTGTTCTTCCTTCCCCATCATGAATCTGCCACTGCTCACCTACATCAACCAAGAATGGAGACCTATGGCACCCCTCAGCCTGGATCAGGATCAACCTCCCCTGGTGACTATCATCAGGTCAGGTGGTAAGATATTCTGCAAGCTGGACAGCCTGCCTACCAGGCCCAGGCCTGGCCTCTCCATTACTTCTACTCTACCATAAAGATCCTAGGAAAGAACAGATATTTTCTAACAGTTGAGGTTATTAGGAACCTTTTATTCTATTTTAACAGCCTGCACTACCTTCTCTATGACCCCAAGGCACCCATGTCTGTCTGAAGTCATTTCCACTCCAGCAGTGGGACTGCTTTGAGAAAATGGGGCCCTGCTCCTCCACCCACCACCCAGGGTATATAAAGAGGTGCAATGGCTGTCCATTCAGTCCTAGAGCTGAGGCTCCAGCCTGACCAAGGGTGTGGCTCTGAAATTGGGCTGAAACACCAGGCTGGCCAGGTGTCAGGGGATAGCTCTGATGTGCTGTCATTAATAGGAAGAAACCAAAAACACACCACATTTACATATTTTTTAACGTTTCTTTGGACAATGGGAAAATAAAAGGCAAACAACAAGATTCGACAAAGACTTTTTAAACTTTAAATTAAAAAAGAAAAATTCTCACACATAAGATTCAGCTTATCTGCTTTGAGGAAATATTAAAGTAAAAGGATTAAAAAAAAAAATCAGACCCAAAAATGATAAAAATAGATGTATCCTCCATAAAAATCTGGTCTAAACTATTGAGTCATTCATGGCTATTCTGTTATTCAGAGCATGAGACGAATACCAAAGTATTAAAAAAAAAAATTTTAAGTCAAGATACTGCCACTGATGGCTTGCTTGCTTGGTGGCCAGTGCTGGCCACTACAGTGTCTGGTCCCTCCACCTTCCGCAGACCTGCAGGCCTTAAAGCTCTTCCTTGGTCCTGCTCCACTTGGTGGCATGCTCATCTATAAACTTGCTCAAGTGCTCCAGATCTCTGTCTCCACCCTCAAACTTAATTGGGTTCTTTTTGTCCCCACTGGGGGCAAAATAAATGGTGGGGAAGCCCTCCACCTTGTAGCGGTCACTGGTGATGTCATTGGCAGTGGCATCCATCTTGGCGATGACCAGGTTCTTCTGGCCCTTGTATTTCTTGCCTAGGTTAGTGTAAACTGGTTCCAGCTGCTTGCAGTGCCCGCACCATGGAGCATAGAACTCGATGAGAACATCCTTTTTGGGGTCCATCACGATGTCATCAAAGGTCTTTCCCACCACCACCTTGACTGGCCCCTTGTTGTTCTTGGGCACTGGCTGTGATTTGATGACTGGCTTCAGTTTTCCTGCCAAGGAATGCAAAAGGGGGAGAAGGTGTCAGTGCTTAAAGGCCCTGAACCCAGGTGCTCTACCTGGACTAGGCAGCGAGGCAACTGGAAAAACCAGCAATCAGAAGCAGCGAGCCACACTGTCAGATGGAGTCTTAGCCTCCCAAACCTTCCCCAACAATGGACATCGCTATGATCAACTTGAATCGTCTAACCTCCTAGTCCCTGCAAAGGCCATTCTAACAGATGCTGCCCAATGCAGAAGGCAGAAGAGTTACTGTGTGCACTGGCACTGAGAGCCTGAAAGCCACGTGGGGACGAAACCTACTTTGTTACACCAAAACTGAGCACCTGACATAGAGCAAGGGCTGTGGTGTGCTACCACATGGCTGGAGTGGTAACTAGGTGCTTTGCTGAGTCAAAATGAATAAAGATTTTCTGTTTAGAATCTCATACCTGGTATTCCTCAAACATGAAGCTTAGTTTTTGGTTTTTTTTTTTTTTCATATTTTATTTTTATTTTATGTGTATGCATGTATTGCCTGCACGTAGGTTAAGTGCAACTGTGTCGTGCAATGCCCATGGAGGACAGAAGAGGCTATTGGATCCCCTGGAACTGGAGTTATGGACAGTTGTTAGCTGCCATGTGGGTGCTGGTATTTGAACCCGGGTCTTCTGCAAGAACGGCCAGTGTTCTTAACCACTGAGCCATCTCTCCAGCCCCATGAAGCTTAGTTTTAAGTTCAAAGAGCTTTTAAAAGTTTCCAAGACCCATGGATAGCTTTAGTTGTCAATTTGACACACCTGAGCAGATACAGCCTCAATTGGGGAATTGCCTCAATGGACTGGCCTGTGGTCATGTCTGTGGGGTATTTTCTTGATTTTCTGAGTGATGTGGGAGGGCCCAGTCCACTGTGTTGGTGCCACCCCCACAGGTTGTTCTGTATTGTATAAGAAAGCAGGCTGAGCAGGGGCCAGGGGAGCAAGGCAGTGAGCAGCGTTCCTCCATGGCCTGTGCTCCAGCTCCTGCCTCCAGGTTCCTGCCCCGAGTTCCTACCTTGGGCTCCCTCAGTGATGAACTGTGATTCAGGAGATGTTAAGATAAAATAAACCCTTTCCTTCCCAAGTTGGTATTGGTCAGTGTTTTGTCATGGTAACTGAAGGCAAGCTAGAACAACATACTCGCCTGTTTTCTAAAAACAAACAAGAAGAAAGGAAACAGGCACAGTAGCACATACCTCTAACCCCAGTATTGAAGAGGCTGGTTGAGGCAGAAGAATCACATGTTATCACAATCACTGTATCAGAATCACTATATCACAATCTGGGATATAGTGAGACCTGATCTCAAAAGCAAAAGTAACAAGTACAGGAGCAAAAACTAAGGGTCAGATACATGACAAGGGCCTGACAAAGAGGCTCCAAGTCAAGTTCTGGAGCCACAGAGGCCAGTGGTACCCAGACCTTGCCCTGTCTGGGGTGGATCTGCAGAGGCCCTCCAGAATCCCCATCTAACCACAAACTGCAGTTTCTTGAGGCTGACCATACTGAATAAGCCTCAATCTGGCTTTTGCTTTCAAAGTAAATTATGGAAGACTTGCCAGAAAGGGATAACAAAACCTCCTAAATGTTTCAAAATATCATTAGGCTGTCTTGGTGCCTTATAGTTTGGGGCCATACCTGGCCCTTCATTAGACAAGGAAGTTAGAGAGTGAACTGGAGTGGACATGGGAGGGGAAGCAAACTGCCAGGAGTTCCTTAGTCTCTTATTGTATGTGGCACATGCAGAGGAGGTCAGGTGTCTTCCTCTATCTTCTTCCGCTTTTTTTTTTTTTGGTCTTTTTTGAGACAGGGTCTCCCTGATGCCCCAGCTGGCCTGAACTCACTATGTAGACTTGGCTAGCCTTGAACCCAGAGATCCATCTGCCTCTGCCTCTCAAGTGCTGGGATTAAAGGCGCATACCACCACCACACCCAGCTCCCATCTTCTTTAAGACAGTCTCTTACTGAACCTGAAACTTGTTTTATCTAGGCTGGATAGCTAAGAAGCTCCCAGGATCTGCCCATCTCAAGGCCCCAATACTGAGGTTACAGGCATGCATGACCAACCCAGTTTTTACAAAGGTATTGGGGATCTGAACTGAGTTCCTCTAGCCTTCACAGCAGGTGCTCTTACCCAGTAAGCCATACCTACAGCCCCTTGCTGAGCCTCTCGTATGCTGCTGAATGCCAGAGGTTCCTGTGATTTACTCAGGTTCTGTATTCTATTCAAAGGGAGACTCTGGGAGACCAACTCATTTATTTTTGTTTTTGTTTGCTTGAGACAGGGTCTCCCTGGAGCTCCAGTTAGCCTGGAACTTGCTATATAGACGAGGCTGGCCTCGATCTGAGATCTGACTACCTCTGTCTTCATACCCAGCTTCTCCAACTCACCCTTTTTGAAAGCCATGACAAACTCCCGGAGAGTATCAGAATCAAACTCCTCTGGCTCCATGGCAAACTTCTTTCCGCTCTCATCCAGGATGGCTGCATTGACATCCTCTCCACTCTCACTGAGTCCCAGGTCCTTCACCTCTGTGGCATAGTCTTCTTCATCAGCAATGGCAAAGGTGTACTCAGGGAAGTCCTTAGCCACCTCCAGGACTTTGTTACGCCAGAACTGAGTAGCTGAGACAGACAAAGGTTGTAGACTAAGTGCTGAGCAGAGCAACTGTCCCACCCTAGACTGAGGGGAGACTTATGATTCTGGTAGTTATGTTCTCTGGCAAGGTACAAGCCCCAGAAAGAAAAGGGTTTCTGGCAGAGCCACACTGTGTGAGCAGGTGGCCTGAGGGTGGAAGCCAGCTAAACCCAAGCACAGCTGTCTCCTGGTAACACAGTACTGCCTGGAGCCAGAAGTTGGTTCAGTCCCAGATCTGCAGCCTCATCTCTAGGAGGGCACTAGGCTTGGCTATGCTCCCCTCTTGCTAAAAAGGGAAGAAAAAAGGGCTCAGAACTGAAAATAATCCTGAAGCCATAAGTAAAATATGCTCATACCACCAACTGTAAGGGTCGCAGGGCAAGATCTCTAAATGTTCCCACTCCAGAAAGGTCTTGAGGTCTCTCACCAGCTCTGTAATCAAAGCTGAAGTCCACACTGTAGTACACAACCACCAGGGGACGCTTGGTGTACCGCTTGGCGTCATTGGAGGACTTGCGATGGCCCACCAACGGCAAGGCATGCTTCATCACATAGTCCTTAATGGCTGATGCTTCTGTGGAACCCTGTTTCAAAGAGGGAGCAGGTGAGAATAAGCCCAACAAAAAAGACTCTAATATGCCTTCAGAGTCGCTGTTAATGAGCACAGATGTTTGCTTTAGAGGGGTTCAGGATGGGAGGAGGGGCAGTGAAGTTGTTCAAACACTCACCCCCATCCAAGAACATCCCAGTAACTCCCCATGCAACATTAACAGGCTTCTCAGGCAGGGAAGACCTCTTCCTTTGGCCTGAGCACATAAGCTGAGGCAGAAACAGCTCAAGGCTCTCAGCAGCGACACATGGACTGAACTGGGCATATCTTCAGCCAACTAATCTTCACAAGAGCCTGTGAGGAACATCTTAGGTGACAAGGTAAGGTGAAGCCCAGGCTGCTAAGTGGTCAGGTAACGCTTTGCAGTCTGCCCTGAATAACCTTTAATCTTCAGACTGTGCTACAGTAGTGTAGCTTCAAATACAATATGGAACCTGATAAAGCTACAGAGTTGGGTTGTTCAAGCACTGAAACCATCTCTCTTCTCTGGAGGTTCTGTGCTCTGAGGGCTCAGCACAGCCAGGTCCAGGTGCCTGCTCTTTAACAGGCTCAACAGCATAGCCCCTTAAGGCTGGCTCAAAAGGTTTTACAGATGAGATGTTTCAGTGTCGTGAACTCAACTAATATTTACACAGCACCTAGGGCATTGTCAGAGAGGCAGTTACTAAGGGGACACAGAGGTCAGGTAGCTGTCTTGAGACTGAGGATCCCTAGGAGCTCACACTCTGTGAGGACTTGAGTCAGGCCCTTCAGAGACATCACCATCATAACCACCATGGGTGGGTACTGCCATCCCTTTATACTTTATAGCTGAAGAAACAGGCATGAGCTACGAGGTGAAGAATGAACCCTGTGAGTCCAGAGTTCTTGTCTAGATGGAACAGGCAGGGAGGTGGCTGACATGGCACTGAGTCACAGAGGCCTTGCCAGGTGGGAAGGGACCAGAAGGCCCACAGGGTAGACGGAGTAGAGGCAGTGTAAGGTATCAAGAGATCTGTTCTGATGTCACTGGGCATGCTGAATGTACTAGAAAAAGTAGGCGAAGAATGCCCTGGAGGCTGCGCTAAGGCAGCCTTTAATGGTATCACCACTGTGCTGCAGTGAGCTTCACTCAAGAAAGCAAATTCAAGAGCAGAGGAGCAGCGATGGACTCCACAGACCAGATCAGATTGTGACCTGCAACCTTTCTGGAGCTAGCGATCCCTTCAAGAATGTACTGAACAAGGTGACTATCAACAAGCCCACACCCACCCTTGGGTGCATACTACTATACTGCTTTTATACCTCTCAACACCTATACTTAAATATGTATTAAAACCTTTTCTTTTATGATAAACTTGGCTTCAAAATCTCAAACAAACAACAAAAAAATAATGCTACAGACCATTCCTTGACACAAACATCTATAAGAGCTGTGCCTGACCGTAAAGGTCTACAGCCCCCACAGGAATTCCTCTTTGGACACACGGTCTGTGGGGATGAAAGCAATAAAAATCAAAGAGGACTGTTGGCAGCACCCTAAATTCAGGGAGAAGGTACTGAGTCCTGCATGGCAGAGAATCAATGGGGCAAGTATGCAGACCATGAGAAGAAACTAGGGGAGTAGTGACAGCCAGAAAGACGGGGCACCGTGGTCTCTCTGGGGATATGTCTATGACTCCTCCCTTGGTGCTGACCCCTCCAGTTCTCCTCCTCCAGTTCTCATAAGAGCCCGCAGCTCAAATAGAAAGAGCCTCAACACAATGGGACCAGCACCACCCAGGAAGCACACCCTTTCCATCTCAGCTCTGCCTCCAAATGCTGTGAGACCCTAGTGCCAAGAATATACTCTTTGCACACCAATCTCTGCAAACAAAGCTTAAAGTTCACATCTGGATTCCTTCCAAATCTGAGGTGTATCCACCAAAGCACATGAAACACTGAACTGGACCCAGGCTCCCCCTGGGCTAGGAACTCCTCCTAGAATTCAGCGTTCCACTCACTTTAGTTAAATGAAGCTGAGGGGTTGATAACCAACAGTGGAAACAAGCCAAACCCACATGCTACATCCAGTAACTCCACACGCTACATCCAGTAACTCCACCTAGGAACCAGAAGGGCTTTGGAGCCTGAGCCACCTGCCAGCAGATGAGGCTCAGCTCAGTCCCAGCAGCACATCCTGGCTACAACCATGCCAAACCCACCATGAGATGAATCTTGCCTGCCAGAGGTGTAAAGAGAGCACAACTGTACTGGCAAAAGGAGGTTAAGTTTGGCTAAGGCCTGGGGCCTGGTGATCCACCCCAACCCCTTTTGGGTAAAGCTGGTCCAAATGCTCCGGTCCTGAGTTGTGAAGATTACCAGTGGGGTGGGAAGAGAGGGCTGGAAAAGGCACGCCACACCCTGCAGACAGAGTGAAAACTCTGTATTTCAAAATCCAGATCCTGCTATGGAGTACCCAGGGGCTGGCACAGCACAGGATGCATCACATTCCTGAAGAGCCATCACTCACCTGAATGTCCATCACATTGCTCTTGGGCTCATACTTGGACCGGAATTTCTCAGGCTGTATTACCACCAACGTCCCCAGGGAAACTTTCAAGAACTTAGCTATTTCAGTGCTAAAAGTATGGTGGAATTTGTAATCTTCTCTCAGGTTGTTAGCTGACAATACAGAACAATATATTAAATCAATTAAATAACTGAGGTTTGTTACCCACCTTGGCCAACGCAAGCACCATGAAGACAGGTGATTGCCACTGTAAATTCTGAATGGACAATGTCTAAAGCTTAACCACATGGAGGAGCTTGTTTTTAAAACCCACAATACTTGCAATATCTAAGTCCAGCATCTTGGAATTTGTCAGAAATAATGACAGTACCTCACAGAGGATATGCCAGCACCACATGCTCCTATGGCCTTACACTAAGGTTTCACATCCAGTGCCCTTCACAGGGGTTCCAACCTCCCATCTTGAGTATGGGCTAGAGCCCTGCATGCAGCGATTCTGCCTTCAGCTATAGTTCTTCCTAGGCTGGGCTTTCCCTGGGCAAGTTTCTTAGTCAAGAACAGATGACAAAGTTAATCAAACTGAGCTCTACTCTTAAATTTTAATAAAATACAGATCTGCATTGGATATATGCACAATTGTTATTATGCTACAGAGAAATCAGCCCACAGTGGCAAGTACATTCAATAGTATATTGAAAGCGTGTTTAGTAATTCCATTCTCCAGGCAGGAGCCATTGTGTAGACAATGGATTCAGTTCTTTTCCCTTTCCTGCCCTCCTTCCCTCCTTCTTCCCACCTCTCTCTTTTGAGATTGGGTCTCATTACATGGCCCTGACAGATCTGAAACTTGCTATGTAGGCCAGACTGGCCAGGAACTCAGAATTGACCTGCCTCTGTTGGGATTAAAGACATGTACCACCATACCTGGCTACCTCACACTTTTGACACAGGGTCTCATGTATCCCTAACTGGCTTTGCAATTTCCTATGTAGAACACCTAATCTTCCTGCCTCTACTTCCTGGTATTGGGATTACAGAGATGGGCCACCAGCACTCTACCAACTGAGTTATACCCTCAAACAATGGGTTCTTTTACTTTTTTCTTTTTTTTTTTTTGATCTTTAACCCAAGCTAACCTGGACCCACTATGTAGACCAGGCTGGCCTTGAACTCACAGAAATCTGCCTACCTCTGCCTCCAGAGTACTGGGATTAAAAGTGTGCACCACTATGCCCAGCTTAATTTAAATTTTTTTTAAAGACTTTATTTTATGTGTATAAGTGTTTTGCCTGCATGTATGTAAGTGCACCATGTTGTGCAATACCCATGGGGACCAGAAGAGGGCATCAGATGCCCTGGAACTGGAGTTGTGCACAGTTGTTAGGTGTCACGTGGGTGCTGAGAACCAAACCTAGGTCTACTGGTGGAGCGGTGTTCTTAACTGCTGAGCTATCTCTCTAGCCACTAATTCTTATTTTTTTGAGCAGAATGTTACTCCATAACCTAGGCTGGCCTAGAAGACAATATGTAGCCCAGGTTGGCTCAGAACTCTTGGCACTCCTCCTGTGCAGTCTCCTGAATACTGAGATTACTGTCATGAGCTTCCACACCTCGCCTGACAAAGGGCATCTTAATGAGACTACTGTTGCCTGCCTTACTTTGGCAGAACATGAGTGCTGACAGCTGTTCACAATCCACTTCTCAGATTATCAAGATTAGTATGTGCGCTGTGCAATTAACAGTCTCCTTGCTAAGCATTTCATCAACATCATCTCAATTACCATGACAACCTTTCACAGTAAGAAAGAGGAAAGCCTAAAGCTTTCTGTGGCCAGTGTTAGTAAATGGCAAGAGCCAGGACTTGAACCCAGGCCCAGGTCAGAGTCATTACTCCATGGTCAAAGCTGTTCTCTCTTGTGGAGGAACTCAGGAAAGGAGGAAGACAAAACTTAAAATAATGTGATTGTGCCCTAAGAAGGTGGGGTGGGGTGGTATGGCACAACTCATCTTACACATTTACTATGTGATTATGCAATCCATAAGCAATGCTGGCCACCAGGACCTGGCTTCCAGCCCCAGCCTGGAAAGCCTATTCCTACAGATGCTACCTTGGTTTTTCCATCAAGCTGTTAGTTATACTGATGCTCCAGTTTTATGCAGAAATATTTACTCTTTTGGTGGTACTGCAGTTTCAATCCAGGACGTCAAGTATACTGGGCACACACCCTACCATTAAGCTGGTCTTATGAAAACAGCATACTTCCCAGCAGCCTCAGGAGTGTGGCAGGGCGCACCTATTTTGTTCAGTCCAGGGGTCAGTACTTACCAGCATCCTGATACTGCTGGTAGGCTGGATCACTGTCTCCCTGAAACACACCAATGATGATGACATCATCTCCATCTTTCAGGAACTCCTGGACCTGCTTCAGGGTCAGAATCTCCTTTGAGGGAGGCCCAGATTGCTCAATCATGTAGTCCACAATTCCTAGGAACAGAGCACATGCCTGAGGAAGGCTCTTGTAGCTGACCACATGCTCTAGTTCCCAGTTGTATAAGGACAGCTCCCCCTCCCACACAGCATGAGGAAGGAAGCAGCCATACCATATTTCTCTCGTGGGCCATTGTAGTCAAAAGGCCTTCCTTTGCGGAAAATTTTCAAAGTGGGGTAGCCAGAGACATCAAACCTCTTAGCCAGGTCTGTCTCTGCGGTGGCATCAACTTTGGCCAAAGGAATTGGTGGAGAACGTTTGCTGAGCTCCTTGGCAGCCTTCTCATACTCAGGAGCGAGTTTCTTGCAGTGTCCACACCTGCCAAAAGGAAGCCAATTCTGTCAGGGGCCTGCCCCAGTGTGGACTCATTTATCAACCTCATGTCTGAAACAATGTGGTTACTCCCACAAAACCTTGGAGTGTCTCCTAGGTAGGAGTGACAAGACAGACCCCAACCATCCTGCCCTGGACACACCAACAGTCTATAACAGGAGCTTCCTGCCATGGCATTTACATGTTGGAAGCAAGCGTGCATGCGTCTCCCCGCCCCCCACGCCCCAGGTAAGAGTGACAAGACAGGCTCCCTGGGACATGCCAACAGTCCTATGACAGGAGCTTCCTGCCATGGCATTGACATGCTGGGGGCCTCTGTGTGTGTGTGTGTGTGTGTGTGTGTGTGTGTGTGTGAAGACAGGACCACCAAAAACTGTGTCACAAGGTAAAATGTGAGAAAAGCCAAGCCAACTTCCTAATAGAGGAGAGGCTCTTTCTTGGTTGGGGGCTAAAGGCCATGAAGGACACAAGTCAGGGATAGTTTTGCTGACAAGGTGACAGCTAATGCTCTTTGGCTTTTTATCTAAGATCAAGTGCAGACAAGGTGACAGGTGAACTGGGTAGTGCAGGCAGAGTAGGATGACGTGTACAAAGGCTCAGAGAAAACAAAGTATGACAGCGTCTTACCTAGAAACCAGCCAGGGCAGGAGATGAGCAAGAGCCAGAAGTACTCACAATGAAGACTAATATGGTTAAAACACATCCTGTCTAAGGGCCAAGGGAGTTCAGTGGCAAAGAATATGCCTAGCAGACTTGACACACAAGGTTTAACCTTTAGCAGCCACGCAACCCCAAACAAAACATAAACACAATATATGGTCTATATCACAATACCTCATAACTCCTGTCTGGCTCATTCACTTCAGACTCTCAGTCCCTTAGTTAAGATAAAACACCATCTTGTCAAATGAACTAAAGGGTGCATCCTGCAACCTGCAAACTATCTGTAAGTATAAGGACAGTGCTCCTCTTAGGTAACACTAGCTGGATGCACCAGCACTATATGTGCTTAATGAGTATTCAAGGTACAGGGTCTGCCACACAGCTCCTGAACGGTCATAAACTAAAATGTGTTAAGTAACTCACTAGTGCAATGTCATGTCCCACCCACAATGCCAAGTCCTTTTTTTATAGCAATACAAGGCTGGCATCTCTCCAGCACTGAAGAAGAGTTATGAACATGCCACAGGTTCAGCTCCTCCCCCAATACACTAGGTAGTTTCCTTTCTTCTTCCCCAATTCATTTTCCTTTCCGCCACCATTTGTCTTGTCGCTTCATCTGTACACCCAACAATGAACAGGTGTAGTGGTTTATGCTGCAGAATCCAGAAAGCCTCATTTGGACTCACAAGGAACCAGGGTGTCCTAACCCTTTATTATGTATCACACATGACTCTGCAGTCAGACTCTACCTGCTGATTCTAGGCCCAAGGGCTTCTTTTCTCTGCTGACACTCTGGGAGTTCACCCATAGAATGCAGCCACTTGAGGGAATTCTTGTTAGTCGGACACTCACATTCCTGATTTTCAATTTGGTCTCTATTCTAGTCCACATGGTCCAGCCTGACAATTACCAAGCCTACTCAAAAATCAGAACCACTAGCTGAGAGATGAGTTCGCCAAGACAAATGGTGCCACAGGTCATTTCCTGGGGAGTCCAAGGGCTTCCAGAGCTACATTCATTTCTCTTTAAAAGTCTTCTCTTGGAGCTGTAGATATGGCTCAGCAGTTAAGTAAGCCACCCACATGGTGGCTAACATCAGTCAGTAAATCTAGTTCCAGGGGATCCAATGTCCTCTTCTGGCCTCTGGAGACATTTCATGATAGAAGTGTACTTCTGTACATACAGGCCAAACACTCATACATGTAATTGTTTTTTTCTAAAAAAAAAAAAAGGTCTTTTTTTGCTGGGCATGGTGGTGGACACCTTTAATCCCATCATTCAGGGATGCAGAGGCAGGCAGATTTCTGTGAGATCAAGGTCAGCCTAGTCTACATATTAAGTTTCATGCCAGCTGAGGCTATAGGGAGACCCTGTCTAAAAAACAAACCAACCAAAGTCTTTTCTCTAATTTGCTCCGTTCAAAGCCAGGTGTGGTAGCCTGCCTGAATTCCCAGCACTCAGAAGGCTAGGGTTGAAGAACTCGTGCAAGTTGCAGGCCCTCTTGGGCTACAAAGCACCACTGTCTCTGGAAACTCAAAACACAGGGGCTGGCAGTATGGTTCAGTGGGTAAAAGTGCTTTTCACATAAGCTTAATGACTTGAATTCAATTCTCAGAACCCAAATAAAAGGTGGAATCAGAGCACCTATTCCACAAAAACTTCATCTTACCTCCATACACACTGACACATGCACCTGCACATGTATACACCATATATGTACTATTTTAAAAATAAAAGAAAAACAAAACCAATTTACTCTGTCCACTTTGACTGCCCCACCTCCAGGTTACCCATGCAATTGGTCACATCCCTCCATAAGAGCACCAACTTTGGCTCCAAAGCACTTGGGAACCCCACAGACCAAATACTTGCACATACTCCCACTTTCCTGGTATCTTCTTTCCTTTGAGCCCATTTTTCCCCAAGGAAATGAGAATTTCCTTCCTTCCACAAGCACCCCCATGATGGTCCCCTATAACCACCTCACTTCCAGAAGACTTAGTGCCTCAACTTTGGCCTGCGTCTACCTACACTGGCTGGTCTATAACCCTCCATCTAGGCCTAGCAGGGTTCTGAAAAATCAGTATCTTTCTATTTTATGTGTATGAGTCTTTGTCTGAATATAAGTGCACCCATGTCATGCAATGTCTTCAGAGGCCAGAAGAGGGTGTTAGTCCCTGGAATTGGAGTTACAGACTGTTGTTAGCCATGATGTGAGTGCTGGGAACCAAACCTAGGTACTGGACAAGAGCAGCCAATGCTCTTAACCACTCAGCCATCTTTCCAGCCCCCCAAATCGGTATCTTAGTATCACAAAACCAACTGTGAACTTACCATGGGGCATAGAACTCCACCAGAATGATGTCTGCATCATTCACAACTTCGTCAAAGTTATCTTTGGTCAAGGAAATTGTGGCTTCTGGTGGAGGAGTCCAGTTGGGCTGGGAGATTTCTCTGACTTTGGCAACAATTTCTGAAAAAAAAGGCAACATAAGAAACATGAACATATGGAGACCCATGCTAATAGGTAGTTTACCTCACTACAAACAGGTGGAGAATTAGCACAGAGTGGCAGGATCTGCAAGGACACTAGTAGGAAACATAACTTCCTGAACTTACACAGCATCTTTAACAGAACCACCTCAGAACTCGGGACACAGTCAAGTCAGAAGGTCTTATTTCTAATGCTTGCCTGCGCACTTTCATTGTCACCCACATGACTGCAGCTTCTCATGATGGCACACTACCTGCTTTAATGACTTTCTGTATCTCCAGACTATACCAGCTCAGGAAAACCCTGAGCAGTCATCTCCCACTGGGTTTCATCAAGTATGTCCACTAATCTGTCTTGGAACACTCCTATAACATGTACAGACTGTGTATGTATTTAACCATGAACAGCTAGCACCAGTATATTACATGCATCATTAAATGAGTGCAAAAATCTAGAAAAATGTAAATAAAAAGCAGTAGCTCCTACTGCTTAAGCTTCAGCAGAAATCACTTGGAAAGGCTTTTTAAATAAATGCCTGTTTATGGGCTGGCAAGATGGCTCAGCAAGTAAAGGCACTTGCCACCAATCCTGAAAACCTGAGTTCAATCCCCAGGACCCACATGGCAGAGAGCACCAACTCTTGCAAGTTGTCCTCTGACTTCCACACATGTGCAGTGACACAAGTAAGCACAAGCATGCGCACATACACATGTAAACACACATACACAAAAAAGTAATAAAAAATTTTAATTAACATATAAGTAAAACAAATGCCTATTTGTGACTTCATTTCTCAGAAGCGGAGTCAATCAAAGAAGAATGTTTGCCTACCATGCACGCATGTGGTCCTGGGTTTGCTCTCCAGCACAAAAAAAAAAAAGAAATTTGCCAAGTGGTTCTTAGGACCAGGAGCTGCAAACTTTCTTTTTCTCTACAGATACTATCAAAGGCCACAGAGAACTGATGTACAGTGTCTAAATTGAAGGAAGTATGAGGTGCACCTTCACAGCACTCACTACATGACTGCCTGCTCCTGCCCACACCCATACCCATACCACAGAACATGACCCAGTTCACCAGGGGAGGCCCATGTAGTAAAACACACGCCAAGGGGATTGCTAAGGGGCTGAGGAGCCTAATCTGGTACATGCTATTTGAAAGTTTCCAAAATGGGCCAGAAAGCTCACAGTCTTAATTCTAGGTACAGATCTCCAAACATAGGTGATAGGTAAAGTAGGCGATGGATGTATCCGGTTGATCAGGAGAAAGCACCAGGACATAGATAAAACTCCAGCAGAATAGAGTTTATTAGCAAAGGAACACATTGGACAGATTCCCTTCCGGGCAGGAAAAATGCCTGCCCGGGTCATGAGCTGGGGTCTTTTAAAGGGGGAGACTTCTAGGGGGTGCAGAAGGTGGGTAGATATATTTTTTTTACAAGTTAGGCAGGGGAAAGCAGGAGAGCAACACTGTTAAAACCTGCTCCCTTCCATGTGTCATCCAGGATCTGGGTCAGGAAGTGTTTGTTTTTGTCCTTTTAAGATAAGGGAAAAACTGCTGTGCTGAAGTTGCTCCTGAAGTCTCTGGTTAAAAGGCAGAATTTGTTGGCTGGGCGTGGTGGCTCACGCCTTTAATCCCAGCACTCAGGAGGCCTCAGAGGCAGGTGGATCCCTGTGAGTTCAAGGCCAGCCTGGTCCACATAGTGACTCCAGGACAGTTGGGGCTAAGGGAGACCCTGTCTCAAAAAAAAAAAAAAGGTGGAATTTGTTTATCTTGTCTTCAGAGATCAAAGGAAAAGCAAGCTACCTTTTAGAAGAGTCTGCTTCTCTTGACTTTGAAGACCAAGGTGCTTATCAACTCCCTTTTCTCAGGGGGCTTGCTTGCGAGGTCCTCGTGAGGCCCTGCTGGTGAGGGGACGGGGCAATCTGAACCTTAACAATAGGTACCTATTTACATTTTCTTTCTTTTTTACATTTGTGGGTGTGTGTAGTCATGTACACGTGTTCGAATGTGCGCATGCATAAATACACATGGAGGACCCAAGGTGACATTGTGTATCTTGTGTATCTTCCTCAATTGCTTTCCATTTTATTTATTAAGGCAATTGTCTCTTGCTGAACTGGGACACACCAATTCCAGATCTAGCTAACCCCCTTGCTCCCCGTCTCTACACCCCAAATGCTAGGATTACAGGTGGCTGTCACTGGCTGACTATTATGTGGGTTCTGAGGATCCAAACTCCAGACCTCACACCTGTGTGGCAAGCACTGTATCCACTGAGCCAGCTCCCCAGCTCCCTATTTACTTTAAAACAAAGCACACTATCTTCAACCTGGCTTTAGACTAAATTTCTGAGTACTGATATGACTAAGATATATTCGGTAAGTAAAAATAAAGGTGCAGAACAGTGTGTAAGATAGTCTAACATTTGTGCAGATGAGAAAAATTCTCTCTCATACACATATACACACAATTTTCTTTTGGTATACAAAGTCTCTGAAGACTACAGAAGAAACTTACAAAAGCAAACCCCTTCTTGGCAGGAAGTTGAATCACCCAGAGTCAGGGTGTAAAAACAATTCCTTAATCTAACACTTCACGTTATTAAGCAAATAAACATTACCTAGTCAGCAAACACGCTGTGCATCAATGGAAGTACCCATGTTTCCATAGCAGAAATGAAGTCAGGCTGTTCCCAAGGCTGAGGCAGGAATACTGCTTCAAGTTCGAAGCCAGCCTGGGTTAGAAAGACACTGCCTCAAAAAAATAACAGCATAGAAGCAGAGACTTAACTCGGGAACACTGAGATCACATACAACAGACCTTATTCCACATGAGAACCTGAGATACAGCAAGAGGAAAGGACTTGTCCAGGTCATGTGCCTATTTCATGGCTATAAAGATTTGAAGCCAGCCAGGCGTGGTGGCGCACGCCTTTAATCCCAGCACTCAGGAGGCAGAGGCAGGTGGATCTCTGTGAGTTCAAGGCCAGCCTGGTCTACATAGTGAGGTCCAAGACAGCTTTTGTTAGTGTTTAAAAGCACAACCATAAACCAGGTAAAGGCACATGCCTTTAATCCCAGCACTAGGGAGGCAGAGGCAGGAAGATCCTGGTGAGTTCTCAAGGCCAGCCTGGTCTACATAGCAAGTTCCAGGCCAGCTGGGGGCTACAGGGAGACCCTATCTCAAAAAGACACCCCCCCAAAAAAAAGATTTGAGCCCTATTTAATGTTCTTTCCAGTACTGCATACTGAGAACAGAAACGTGGTAGCACATAAATGCTGAAAAAAACCGTTGACTAAAAGGAATCATTGTCTTAAATGTGTATGCAAGCATATGTGGAAGGCAGGTATCATCCTTGGGTGGCGTTCCTCAGGTACCATGCACCTTATTTTTTGAGACTGGCCAGAGACCCTTTGATTATGCTAGGCTGGCTGGCCAGCAAGCCCAAAGGATCTGCCAGTCTCTATCTCCCCAGCACTGGAATTACAAGCATGTACCACTGGGCCTGGCCTTTTTACATAGGTTCTGGGCATCAAGCTCAGTTCCTCATGGTTGTGAAACAAGCACCTTACCAACTGAACTCTCTCTCCAGTCCATAAAGGTTAACAATTTTATTTATCCATTTATTTAATAAAATGCAATAGTAACTAACGAAAGCCAGACAGGGATGCACTATGCCAGAGAACAGATGCTTAGACTCTCTGGACTTGGTATCCGAGCATGTGGTTTTGTTCCACAGCACCAGTAAGCCCTGACACTTTTCTAAGAAATTTCAATTACAGGGCCTAACTTGAAACTTAACTGACTCAGAAGGTCTGGCTGGGACCTGTTTCAGTGAGTGAGCCCTCCGGTCACCTGCTAAACCCAAAGAACCATTGCCTTGAAATAACACTGAGAACCATGGCTTCAGATGTCATTTCTTTTTTTGTTGTTGTTGTTTTTAACACAGGGTCTCCCTGTAGCCCCAGCTGGCCTAGAATTTGCTATGTAAACCAGGCTAACCTGGAACTCCGAGTTCCTCCTGCCTCTGCCTCCGGTGTGCTTCATTTAAAAGTATGCACCACTATGCCCAGCCAAGTGTACTCCTAAGGTTCCTGCTCCAGATTTTGAGTGTCATAAGGTTAAAGATAACCTCCCACCAAAGATGAGTATGGTCTCAACCTTGGTTCTTCCAAGCATTCCAACAGAGCTGCCTCTCAGGAGGAAGCCAGTCCCAGGTCTATTCACCTCCCATTTCTTTTAATTACTCAAATACCCACTCCCCTAAGGAAGGGAGTCCTGGGCCCTGACATCCCCCAACAGTTCAGGTCCTAGAGCTTACCTTCCTGGGTCCTGGAGCCCTCATAGTCAACAGCTTGTCCCTTCTTCAGGATCTTGATGGTGGGATAGCCACTCACATCAAACCTGCTGGCCAACATGGATGCTGAGGTGGCATCAATCTTAGCGACAGGGATGGGAGGATCATTATCCTTCAAGGTGCTAGCAATTTTTTCATATTCTGGAGCAAACTGCTTGCAATGTCCACACCTAAGAAATTTGAGAAGAAAAGGATTATCTGTACTCATGGAGACTAAAAGTAAACACACTAAAAAAGTGATACCACATATAATGGAGAAGGAAAATCACAGGAGCTATGAATTCCAGCTCTGCCTTCAGCAAATACTCTTAACACTAAACCTAAATGGTTGTTTCCATTTGCATTTGGCTCTCCATATCCACAGGTTCCATATTCACAGATTCAGCCAACGACAGACCAAAAGGTGTTTTTTGAGACAAGGTCTTTCTATGCAGCCATGGACGGCCTGGAACTATGTTAACTACGTTGGCCTCAAACTCTCTGCTTCTGTCTCTCAAGTGCTGGTATTAAGGGTGTGTGCCACCACATCCAGTCAAAAGTATTTTTAAAAGAGGGTCATAGGGGGCTAAAGAGATAGCTCAGCAGTTAAGAGCGCTGACTGCTCTTGTAGAAGACCCAGGTACAATTCCCAGCACCCACATGGCAGCTACAAACTGTGCTTAACTCCAGTTCCAGGGGAATCCGAAGCTTTCTTCTGACCTCCGCGGAATTGCACAGACATGGGTACACTCACATTTGGGCAATGTACTCATACACATAAAATAAAAATAATAAATAAAATATTAAAAAAAAAATAATAAATAAAATATTAAAAAAAAAAAGATGTAACTTAGTGGTAGAGTGCTTGCTTATCATGCAAGACCCTAAGTTTGATCTCCAGCAATGCAACAAACAGCATCTGTAATAAACAATGATTAGTTTTCTTATTGTTATTCCCTAAACAGTGCAGCACAACTATCTAAATAACATGTTGTACTAGATCGTGTAAGTAATCCAGAGATGATTCAAAGAATCTAAAGAGAAGATATATACAGGTCATATGCCATTTTATGAAAGGAACTTAAGCATCTATGTATTTTACTATCTTTGGGGACAGGGAGACTGGAACTGAGGGATAAGCTAATGTGCAAGCCTCTCAAAGTTTGATCCAGTGACCTCCTTTAAGGGTCTGTGAGGTTAAGATTCTTTACACAGGAAGTTGTTTTAATTTCTAATATAGAAAATACACATGATAAACATGACCCACATAAAAAGCTGTTTAGGGTCCTCAATTTTAGAGTGTTAAGAGCTAAAAAAGCATAAAATGGCGAATCTGTAAATTATAATATAATCTCATAGACCTGCTAAATGGACCATTTAGATGTTTTCTAGAATACACTGGCTAAATAACATGAAAATACCCTGTTTTGTCTCAGAAGTGAAACAGAGAGGCAGGAAGAAGAAAAGAACGGAAAGGGTTATGAAACACAAAACAGCATAAGAGAGGTAGGGGGAAGGGGATGACAGGGATGGATGGGACAACCTAAGAGGTCTCATGTACTACATCCAAGGTAGGAGGATGAAACAAAAAAAGAAGTAGGGTACTTGTTTCCTCCAGAGCTGTGTGGGGGAGAACAAAAATAAAACCAAAGAACAAAACAGAATCCCACAGGTCAACAGCCTACACCTGGGGCTGCTTCTGACTATTCGTTAAGAAACCGAGACTATCGCTCTATGGTGAGTGCTGACTCAAAGCTGCCCAGTGCAGCTGAGAGCCCCTAGCTCTCAGCACTCCTACATCAAGAGTTGGCACTCTTCGGGCCAGCAAGATGGCTCAGAAGGCAAAGGTGCTTGCCACCAAGCCTAATGACCTAAGTTTGATCTCCAGGACTCACGTGGTAGGAGAGAATGTAAATTGTCTTCTGACCTCCACAGGTACACCATGGCACACATACAAAATAAAATTTAAATTGTAATTTAAACAAACAGTGATGGCTAAGAGAGACAGCTTTTATAGTCAGGCCCTCCACCTAGGGCCTGGGTGACCTTGAGAGGTTGAGCATGCTGTATGGAGGTTGTCCAGCTATAAGAATTAAAATGTGGGCTGGAGAGATGGCTCAGCAGTTAAGAACACTGACTGTTCTTGCAGAAGACCCAGGTTCAAATCCCAGTACCCACATGGCAGCTAACAACTGTTGGTAACTCCAGTTCCAGGGGATCCAACAGCCTCTTCTGTCCTCTGAGGGCACTGCATGACACGGGTGCACTTACCTACATGCAGGCATAATACTCATACACAATAAATAAAATATTAAAAAAAAAAAGAATTAAAATGGTTCTTACCATGGTGCATAGAACTCCAGCAACACTGTATCCTTGTCAGCCACAAAGTTATCAAAGTTTACATCATTTAAGACCAAAACACCATTTTCTTCCTTAACTTCCAAGTCATCTTCCTCTTCATCTTCCTCCTCCTCATCTTCCTCCTCAATGGGATTTTCTGCATCTGAAGCGTCTGACCAAAAAATACTCATACTGGTTAGGAAACTGGTGACTGACCCTTTAAAACTTTACCAGAAGGCCAAGCTCTCACGATAAGTCACAAGGACTATATATCCTCACCCCAGATTCTGCTCCATACCTGCACAGTTAAAGATGTTCATGGCCAACAGATGTTCCGAAACTATCTTTCTAGAATTTAACATTCAAATGCCCAGGACACAAGGGAGGACTAGCATCCCAATGGACTCAAGGCCCCTTGTCCCTGTCCTCTGTTTCCCACAGGCAGGACCTTAATAAACCACTCAAGCCTGGATAACCTGCCCCACCCCTGAAATAAACAGGAAACCCAGACTCTAGAATGTATATAAATTCTACTTCTAAAAAGGTGTCATTTTATTTCAAGGTTATAAAAATTAACCACAGGTTTTTTCAACATTGAGGAAAACTCTGAGAAGAAAAATAAGTTTTTCTTAGAAAGTCATCTCTGATAATACCCAGGGAGAAAGAGAGTTTGAGGTTTGAGATGACAATTTTACAGATTTATAGAACCAACATACATCACTAAAAATATGCCAAAAAAAAAAACCCCACACCTTTGCTTTGAAGCAAATTTTTCTTCCCAGCATGCAAGAAACTGAGTATTATTCTATTGTTAACTAAGGTTTTGCTCTTTTTTTTCTTTTTGCTAATGTACAAATACAAGAAGAGCATGGACTCCCAGTGCTTATGAGTTGTTTTCTCTACTGACAGTCATAGCAGCAAACAGACCTATGTGCAGCAGCAGGGTAAGTTCATTCACCCCGAAGCCTGAATGTTTCAAAGGCCCAATTCTTTTTTTTTTTTTCTGGAGCTGTCTCAGGAACTCAACCAACAACACTGCGGGATACTTTCTGGAACTATAGATGCACTCAAGCAAGACCTGAAACCTGCTCCCTGGATCCTGGGACCCCCTGAGACCTGTGGATTGTACAAAGTAATCCAATGTTGGCTCTAGAGTTGAGGGGACAAGGGAACTCTGTGTTGTACCCACACACATATCCCACTGCTTTCTCATGGTTCTGAAGCTCTAGGGCTATGGGGGCAGCTTTGATCATTATCCATGAAATTTACCAACCTGTAATAAAAACCTCACCCCCTCTCTACCAGTCAATCTTACTGTTTCCCTACCGTTCTACTTCTTCTGGTCTGCACTCTGGTTCTCTCCAGCTTAGGCCTGTATTCCTTTTTCTGGAGGTAGGAAAAGCAGTTCTAAAATGCCCACTTTCAGGGTAGAAACTAAACTGGCTTGTAACTCCTGTGCCTATTGCTTCCTCCCTCTAGGCACCATCAGCAAGTATTAGGGATGGGGAAACATCAGAGGGCCAGGCTCTGAGGGATGCAGGGCTGGCAGAGTACAGAGATTACAAGGTCCCTGGTTGAGTGTGACAGCACCAGGATAGCCCACATGGTATCTCTTGAACAACTCCCAGAGGAACAAGGGCTTCCTCACCTGAAGAACAACCCAGGGTTCCAATGGTTTTCCCGTTTCCCTATTCAAATCTTCCCAGAATGCAAAGAACAACACAGAAGAACCTGTGCTTTGTGGTACTCAGAAAATGGTGCCTGGGCTACAAATTTGTCTGAAAGAATCATAACAAAGTAAAATACACACGTCACCAATGCTGTTAACTAAGCCAGGTGGTAACTAATCCCTGCTCTTCCAGGCCTGGTGGCCTGTGCTTACTCCTTTACTCCAAGTTGTGACTAACAGTCTACACCACATAGCCTGGTCCTCTTGAATTTGGGAGGGCTCAGAATTTAATACTATGTTCACCCAGCTCCATGCTGCAGGTATTTCAAGAGCCCTGCCTACCACAACCTTTCACAGAAAGCACCGACTGGCTGATGCCTGGGCTTCATGCTACTCAAGTGGCAGAGTAGTCATGGTGACTTTCTAGGAGACTAAGCAAAGGAAACATTCCACCTCCATCTTCACATTGCTTAGCCCACACTTCAGGTAAGATCACTCCTGAAATGTGAGGATCTAACCAGGTTGTTGCAGTTCCTGTCCACAACCACTGCTAACAAACCTGACAACACTTGCCCAGGCCACATAAAGGCAGCTACCTACTGCAAGGATGCCCCCACTACCTCTTCAGCTGACCACACTTCACTCCTTGCCAAAGAGGAGCCTCTAACAGCTGGATAAATTATCATTAGGCCAACATCAAACACTAAATAGTGAACAAAAAAAGGAAACCATCTAATCACCAACCATTTATATGGGCCAGGCACAAATGAACTTGTACTCACCTCTCCCTCTGTAGTGCTGAGAATGGAATCCAAGACCCTGCACATGCTTGGCAAGAGACCTATCACTGAGCCACATCCCCAGCTCTGCCAAACTCTGAAACAGGAGTAACTACCCAGTGAGGACTGTCCTTGGCCTGCTACCCCAGTGATTCCTGTACTCACCCAGAACTGTTTCCTAGGGGCTATACTGTACCAGAGGCCAGTGATCCCCAAGATATATTACTGACTGGTCCAAAATGCCCTTGAAATCCTCTTTCCCATGTCTCACCCTCCAACAGATCAGTGTATTAAAACCAATTGTTTTACAATGTTCCAAAAGTGTCCACTAGACCCCTCCCAAAGTTTATTCTGCATGTGAAAGAGTAAACAATTTTGCTTAACATGCAGTCTGCTCCTCTCCCCAAATCCTGTTTCAGTGTATTCTGGGTCGCTATAGAAATGGGCATCCAGGTGATTATGATCAAAAGCCAAGGTATACTTGTAGGCAATATACATACTTGATTCATTTCAGCAGGTGTCTCTTCAATTGAGCACTGGTTTTACTCTTTTGTACTTGGGCAAAAACTCCTGAATCAATGGAAGTTACTCAATCTGGTAAGAGTATAAAGTTCACACTCCCCCTACACACTAATCTGAGAAAAGGGGGTTCATTTGTATTAGAAGGAACCCAGTAGGCAGAAGCTATATGGTGCAGAGGAAAGTAAAGATCAGCTCTGATCTCTAGGAACAGCAATTCTACCCAGTACTTCCTAATTTCAAAGTTCTCAAGTTTACAGTTGGACGATTTCGAAGAAAAAGTGCAGGAATGATGCCTAGGAGCTATGCACACAGTGGGTGTGCGTCCCATCAGCCTTGACTCTCAAAACAGTGCAGTGACTGGCAAATAGGTGCTGAATAAAATGGTTGTGGAAGGAACGGTGGGATGCCTGGTTGTCTGCAACTGCTTCTGCGAGCCACTGCCTATGCACAGTCTCTTAAAACACGTTTTGGAAACAATGCTGCCCCCGCCCCGACCTCCCTTCGCCCCCTGAGCGTATTCTCCAGAAAGTTTTAACAGTACAGAAAAGCAAGTATTAGCAAATGAGGGCAGAGAGGCTAGCTGCAAATCGGGCATTCTACACGTCTCTCCACGTCCTTAGTCTCCAGTGGGAGATCAGGAGAGTCCGGCCTCTTGGCCATGTCTCCAAAGCGAGCCCAGTCCTAGTACCCGTCCTGAAACTCCAGCAAGTCCGCCCCGCGCGGGTTCCTATCTCGGCCAGGGCATGAGCGAAGCACCCTCCCAGGCCCCAGCAAGGTCTCAAATCCGACCCGCCCACCCGCTCACCTTCCTCCGCATCTCCCGCGCTCGCTGCCGCCAGCACCTGCGTCAGCGCCAGGAGCAGGAATAGCAGCCAGGATCTGCGGAGCCTCATAGCCGGGAGTGCGGGGCCAGGCCTCCCAGCACCGCAAATCACTCGGAGATCTCCGGAGCGACACCAGAGCACAGGAGCACCCTCCAGGAAGTTCGCCACGGCGATTGGCCAGGGGCGGAGGAAGCCGAGAACTAGCCAATCCCCCGGCGGATCCGCGTCGGAGCCGCGACGCCCCGCCCACGCCACTCCACCCCTTGGCCTCAGCCCTGAGCGTCCGCGCGTCCCTCCGCCCGGCGTTTAAAACTCCGAGCCCTAGCCTGAGGTGCCCCCTTCTGATTGGCTGCGCCGCACCCACCAATCAGCAGCTGCCACTCGGTTTGCTCGGAGCGCACAGGCGGAGAAGGAATGCGTGGAGAACAAAGGCGGCTAGCCCTGCCCGGAGAGGCGGGGCCTGGGCACTGCTCGCGGAGGGATTGGCTGTGGGCCTGGTGGGCGGGGAGGAGCGGGGCTTGGAGGCTGCGGGGGAGGTGGGTGGGAAGAACACGTGTAATTCCCTGGACCCTGCGGGAGCCAGTTTAGAGTCTGCCGTTTCGCAGGAAGATTAGATCAAAGTAGACGGACTTGCTCTGTTGGAAAAAGGAGAGATCAGGATCCTGCCTTTCTTCCCATGTTCATTAGCTTGGGCGTTTTAAAGTTTGAATTTCTCCCCTGGATATTGGGTTGAGAGAGGAACTGGGAAGGGCTTGAAGCCAGGGAGTGGTGACGCACGCCCCTGGGGGTGAGGCAGAAGCCATAACTTCTATTCAGTCTGGCCTACAGAGCGAGACCCTGTCTCCAAAAAAACTTAAGATTCCACGATTTTGTCTGTGAATAAGCCATTAGATTTCTGTCTACACATTGCCTTGTATTATGATTTTTCTGCAAAAAAAGAAATACTAGATAGGCAATCTAGTGGTTTACATAACTCTGGAGAACTTGACTGTTCCAGAGAAGAAACTAGGTTTGTGTGTCAAGAAAGAAGACTGCTATTTAGACAAATAGGGCTAAGTAAAAAGTGGACCACTCACCAACGTTAACAATTAGAAATTTTCTACTCTGTTTTGTTTTTGAGACAGGGTCTCACAATGTAGCCCTGGCTGGTCTGGAACTCACTGTGTAGACCAGGCTCAGTTCCCACTTTCTGCACTCTTGTCTCTGCCTCCCAAGTGCCAGGATTATGGACATGCTAGACCCTCCACGACTGACTGGAAAATTTAACAAAATTGTATTAAATGCCTATAAATCTGATGGCTCCAGGTCAATTTTGTAGGGGAGAAAAAGCATGCAACCAATTTTATTGCCAGAGTATACAAAATGATTTTTTAGAGTGCTTTGAATGATACTTAAACAGTTTAATATCTTAAATCTTGGAAAAGAATGAGCCTAGTCAAATTTTTTTCTTTGTAGTTTCCTGATTTTTTTTTTTAACTCCATGACTTTATTGTCCCACAGGTTAGGTCACACCTTCCTATGAATTTTTACTAAACTAAGAGAAATGAAGTCCCTATTTCATTTGCCCAGATGTTAGACATACAACAAATTTCACTAAGGTCCTTTTTGATACGGGTATAGGAAGAAACCTGTCCAAATGCAATCTGTTTGTATATGCACATGCATATCCTGTGAAAGTAATAACAGTCTTTTAAAAGCATTTAGAGTGTGGCAGAAATTCATTAACAGGATAACACAACTTTATCAAATTGGATAGTTCGTTATCTTTATACTTAAGTCTCATCCAAACAAGGAGACTGGGAGACCGTTGTGAGGACAGAGCAGAGAGAGACAGCATTTTTTTTTTAACATCTCCAAGATCTCCATAATTGTTACTGTGTAAGCGTAGAAAAGCTGTTAAGTCATAGACTTGGACCCTAGTTTTGAAATATTCCTATGTAAATATAAATATATATCCCTGGCTTGTCCCCTGGGCTGCCATTTAACAGTAGGCTAGGTTTAAAGACCAGTTTGAATGTGTGTTTTCCTTCATGTCTGAGAGTACTCCCTAGAGAAAAAGCCTATTGGGAAAAAGTCCTTCCCATCTAGATTGTCTACAAGTGCCTCTGTGACACTCCTGACACATTGTCCACCATAACAAGTTCAGTTTATATAGTTTATTTGTTTTGTTTTTCTGGTCTTTTTTGAGACAGGGTCTCCCTGTAGGCCCAGCTGGCCTGGAACTCACTATGTAGACCATGCTGGCCTCAATCTCACAAAGATCTATCTGCCTCTGCCTCCTGAATGCTGGAACTAAAGGCGTGTGCCACCACACCCGGCATAGTTTTAAAATTAAATTGGGACAAACAGCCACACAACCTGCATGTTCTGCATGCATGAGGTTTATGACCAGTCCTATCTAGGTTAAACTACATGAGATGATAGTTTCTTGTATTTTCTGGATAACTCAGCAGTGGTCCTACTTTCCTTTGATTCTGATACAGTTCCTTTCAGTAGAAAGGGAAACAAATTAAGCCTTCAGAAGTGAGTTCATTTTCAGAAATGCTTGCTTTTATTCAGACATGATGTGTGGCTATGGTCCCATTTGGGAGGCTGAGGCAGAAGGATGAATTTAACCCAGGAGTTCAAGGCCAACCTGTGCAAGATAATAAAGCTCTGTCTCAAAACAAAACAAAAAGTCATGCATCTTCATACAGTCATGCCCCCCACCCCGCTCCAAAAAAGGATATCCAATGTAATCTAAACTTTTTTTTTCCAAGATAGATTCTCACTATGTAGCTATGGCTAACCTAGAACTCACTATGTAGACCAGGTTGATCTAAAACTCAGATCTACCTGTGCCTCTGCCTCCCAAGGGCTGGGATTAAAGGGGTGCACCATCACACCCTGGCCCCACATATTTTTTTTATTCTACATTTGTAACTTAGTATCACATCATAATCATTTGTCTGTGCTATAACATTATTTTCTGAAGGAATATAGCTCTCCCCTGAGATATCCACTTTGATTCATAATCTGAGATTGAAATGAGGTCTGGGGTCCTCAGAAACAGCTGCCTGAGAACACTTACTGTATTCTTTAACTTGATACTCAGATTCTATCATGTTTTAGAATATGATATTTCAGCTGATACAATTTTGATTGGACTTCTCAATAACTAAATACAGATGGTCTTTGATGTCATAGGGCAAGGTTCACAGGTATGCCCAGCTACTTACCACACAGGGGTGTCAAACCTGATATTTTTACAGGAAATTTCCCATGATAAGTTATTTCCAAGTTTGCAGAAATAAGACAATTTGTTCAGTCATTTTCTTGTTATGCCAGGGTACTAGCCACTATTTTGTTGTTGTTGTTGTTGTTTGTTGGGTGTTTGTTTGTTTGTTTTGGTCTTTTTTGAGACAGGGTCTCCCAGTAGCCCCAGCTGGCCTGGAACTCACTATGTAGACCAGGCTGGCCTCAAACTCATAGAGATTCACCTGCCTCTGCCTCCCAAGTGCTGGGATCAAAGGTGTGCACCACCACACCCAGCTAGCCACTATTTTTTTAAATCTCAAGTGAATTCTGAAAAATTTTTTTCAACAACGTTGGGGATCAAACCCAAGTCCTCATGCACATACACTACTACTGAGCCACATCTCCAACCCCTTAAGAAGACATTTTAAGATTCAAACTAAGATTACACTCCTAGATCTTAAGTTTCACTGTTACCAAATGCTAGGATATTTAGGTACTTTATATTGTTACCAGAAATACCAACACTGGGACTGCAGAGATACTAAGTGGTTAAGAGTACTGGCTGCTCTTGCAGAGGACTGGGGTTCAGTTCCTAGCACCCACATGGAGACTAACAACCATCAATAACATCAATAACTCCAGTTCCAGGGACTCTGACACCCTCTTCTAACTTTCACAGGCATTGCATGCATGTGGTGCACTTACATGCATGCAAAACACTCATACATAAAAAAAAAAAAAAGAATAAATTTAAAAAAACACTATTGTAATTTCTGGAAATTAAAAATTAAAATTTAAATAAAAATCAGCACATTTTTTTTTTTT